TTAGGCCTAGGTTTTGGGTCCTGGCTTGATGAGAGCAAATTCAAGAAATTCCGTCAGCGATTATTGCTTGTTTTCACACTTTTTTTTTCTTGTTAGTACGATAATTTCGCGTCCACCAAGTGGAATTGGGTGCAGAATGTTGGCGATTACATAAAAATCAACTGCTCTGCTACTGGTTCACCTTGCCCACAAAAGAGGCGGGAGAAAATCTCTCTGACTTGACAATAAGCGAGTTCACAATTCCGAGTTTTAGACTAAACGATGTTGGTTTTTACACCTGCAGATTTTACAACAAATTTAACACTGCTCGATAATGAAAGGTATGAACAAAAATCATCAATACATTAGTGCTGCTGTGAAACCTTTCAGTAATTTTGAGTTCGTTTGTAATCCAAAAGTTAAAACATCGGCTGGTTATTAATTTGTGAAAGATGGTAATGTGCATTTCAACTCGTATAAAAGTTCTTTCCGTTTTTTTTTTTTCCAACTTTCAAATAAAGCTTAAAATAAATTACGTGCTATACATTATAAATAAATTTGCCCTGGATGACTCAAGTAAAGTCTTCTCGATTAACGCAGCACCAAACAAACAGATTTTATTTCATCCTTTCGTCAAATTGTTTGTAGTTGTATTACATAAGTTGCAGCAACAAACTAGTCAAGGCTCAATTTTAGTATCAAAATAACTCGTTTTCTCTCTGCTTCAACTTTAAAGTTTTAAAGTTTCAAAGTTGATTTTTTGAGCTGTTGAACCGATAACAGGACGGAAAATGCGTGCACTGCAAGTACATCCTGTTGTCCCGACACACTAAGCCTTAGAAAAGTTTCCTAAGGCTTTGTATGAGACAACGAGAGGTACTTACAGTGCACGCGTTTTCCTGCCTGTCATAGTCTTCTCTTATGTACGTAAGATTCATATAAATAATCAACTTGAGGACTTTTCGATTACCTCTCAGGATTGGTAAACTGCGGCAATCCCGGACGCCCGTCAGCTGGTCACGTGATTGACTCGCGTTACTGGACTGGTGATACCGTCTCATTTTTCTGTAATCCTGGTTATCACCTGATTGGTCCTGCATCCAGGCTTTGTTTGCCTTCGGGGAACTGGAGTGGCCTTCAACCAGAATGTATGTGATAAGAATAACCATGTGCTATCAATCAAATGGACAATTCTGTGGTCACTTTTTGAGGCCAAACTTGTACCAGAATGCCTAGTAATCTCGAGACAATTACTTCCATCTCAGTTTAGTTTGTAGATCTGTCATATTGTGTGTACTAGTGTATTAGGCTCAAACACTTAAAATAGAGCTTCAATCATAATACATCATTTTACTGGACAATCGTCTGCGTAGCACGCTCTTCTTTCTTTTCTTTTTTTAAATTTATATCTCCTTGATGTACGACAACAGCTTCCATTTGGCGCAATAATACACCCTGATATTTGTCAGCGGATATTATGTAATCCGAGATGCGAACAGTTTTTCGAGAGCGAAGCTTGAGGAAAGCTGTGAGCGTCGAGGAACAGATCATGTACAGGGAGAATTAAACGAACGAATTTTTGCGAAAAGTGGGGTTACTGTGATTACTATCTTTCAAATATTTTTGCAGCGCACGAGACAAGATGTTAACGATCAGCTTACCGTTTCCATGCATGGGATGGTTAATGAGTGTTCTCTGGTTTGACTTTATGTGCAAAAAGAAATTTCTCTTCTTCTGTAACAATAGCTACACGCTCTCTCATCATGAATTAAATCTTAAATGCGGACTTATTGGATTGGAGGTAACGTCTGAAAACTGGGACTACCACTGGATACTCCCCAGTTTTAGCTAACGTGACACGTTTGGACGAACCGCACGCGAGAAAAATATTTCATGGACAATTTATGACTAATAAACTTTCTCGTATCTTTCTCAAGGCCGACTTCAAGGATTAGCTGCCCTCGATAACAACGGCCATCTACCCCAGAAGCTCTTACCAGCTGGCTTTGGTGAGTTTTCGGCCTACGATGTTGGTTGGCGTGCTTTGCATTTTGCTGCTGCTGCAGCTTGCAGAGGGAGCGTACATGAACACTCTGCATACGGTTATAGTGAAAATTTTGTTTGTCCGCAATACTTTGGGAAAACCTGTCCACAGGTTTGCACGATGAATAAACTACATTGTAATGCTCAAGTGGGTATTTTTGGCGTGGGCAGAGCTACTGGGACGGGGCAAGCAATTGGTACTTTTTATAACTACGGATGCAACTCTGAGCGTGGACCCTGGCAAACAGACGAGCTCACTAGAGGGGAGACTTACATATTCCGCAGGCATTACCGCGGCTGGTTGAGATGTTACTGCTGCAGGAAGTCTGGACCGACATCAACAAAAAGAACCACAACAACAACATAAACATAAAGCCGCCTAAAGAGACGAACATGAACAAAAGGGACTGGAACGAGAAAAAAAGGTGGAAAAAAAAAACTTTATCAGCACTTTCCTTCTGGGTCTAACCCTTTAGACGAGAGGGTAGGAGAGTTAGAGCCAATTAAATAGCCATTTATCCGTCGGGTAGCGTTTTCCGCCCTTTAAAAAACAGGGTTCTGGTGGGTTCTGTGATAGGACATCGTTGTCGGAAATTGGGAAAATAAACAAAGAAATAAGCGAACACACCGCATCGAAATATGGCGTCCAATTTGATTTGCTATTGTTCTGGCTTGACTAGCCCTTTGTGTTTCCGCGTGAAGACGAGGCCAGTGAGTCCAGAACAATGGCAGTTCAAATTGGACGCCTATATTTCTTTTCGGGGTAGAACACCAACCATAAAGCATAACACGAAAAGAGTACAGTTAGCCCTTAGCTTCTTTTGTACAAATTCATTGTAATTCTTTTATTCACTTGAGTCTACGTTCAAAAGATCAGATACTCATTATCTGTCAACAAATCAGTGAAAAGCTTTAAAGGAGCTTGTCACCTATGGATTCATTTGAAATGTCAAACCTGAATTTTTTTTTTAAGTGGGGTGTACCTATTTCACTTTTATCTTCTCCTTTATGTGTTACATCATGACTACTTATCAATGGTCGACAACAGTTTTCCACCTCTTCATGCAGGTTAATTCTTCGAATTTGCAAAATTCTTTGATGCAATGCAACTTCTGTGAATTGAAATTCAAACTTCTTTCCATCTCGGTCAAAACAAACGAAAGCCAAGGTCTGTCTTTCTATTCTCCTCGTGCGTAATACATTTTTGTAAAACGTTTTTTCCTCCGAATCGCAGGAGATGCACAGTTGAGCTGATTAAAACGCAACCATCACGTCTCGTTGCCATTAAATGTCAGCTACGTTGGAACTTTAGATACAGTGTTCTGTATAGCCTTGACCAGTGAGTCCACCCAATCCGTGGGTGGCCTTGCCCCCCATATTGATGCAGTCTTTTTCTGAGAATTTTCTGGAGTCTTTTCCTTCTTTGATGCAGCTGTACCATCGTCTTTGCTCGTCCCCGGTTTATCTGACGGACCCGGGGTCGTTTTAGCTGAGGCCTCTTCCTCTTCTTCTTCAGTCCTCCTTCGCTTCTTCGCAGGCCCGTTATCTCCCTCAGTTTTAGCAGCAGATGGCTCATCTTTACCCTGCTGCTGTGAAGGAGGTTGTTCAGACTCTACCGCAGGTGACCGTGATTTGGCCTCTAATTTCCTGGCTTGATACTTGCGGCAGACCGCCAGCAACTCGGTGAGACTTGGTTGCAACAAAGGGCTCACGTCCGACTTCTGTGGCGGGCGAACGGAGAAAAGAAGAGACATGGCTCGCAGTTCCTGAAAATAAATTCAATAACTAAGACGTTTGTCTGTTCCAATCCTTGATCTTTTTTCAGGATAATTCTTCAACTAGTAAGGGGAACGTATCACTAGGCTATTTTTGGAAACCCAAGGGGTTATATTCCAATTATGGACCAAAGGTTGGGTGTTATCACGCAAGCTAGGTGAATCCGTTGCGCTGTAGCAAGGTTTTCCATTCACTAGTTGTACGAACGGCTCGGAACATTTCTCTCTGGAAGTCTACTACGCTTCAAAATATGCAAGCCTTGGATTTTTCGTGAAGAACAAGAATCCCATCCCTAAGTCAGCTTTCCTTAAAAAAAAAAAAAAGTTACTTGCTTCGTAATTAGCGCGGAAATAGTTTCTACGACAGCATTTGACTTCTTACCGCAGTAAGTCTTTTAGCTATAGCACAGAGTTCAGAGTCATTTGCCTTCTCCGCCGCGGGTTTATCAGCAATTACTGTCGCTACTAATGTCTGCACCAAGTTATTCCACTGCTTCACCAACACCTGGCTTGATACCTTGGGGAATGAAATGTTAGAAATAATACTCACATTAAACACCAATTCTCTCATGACAAGGGGGAAGTTACAGTAACAAGTTCAGCCGTAGTTATTTTGGATGACCACCTGCCGGAAGTTCTTAATTCAAAATATTACGTCTAACTTACTTAATTTCATAGCAAATAAAAACGACTCTCACGACTAGAGAAATTACGCGTCCGTATCCTATAATCTACGCGGAAATTATATTTTGTCTCTACCGTCTATAAAAACTACTATTTATGGTCTTCACTCCTTTTCATATATGGTTTCAAAACTATGGAACTCTCTTCCGGACTCCAGACTCCGGACTTTTCTGATTTCAAGCGCAAGATTCTACAGTATGACTCTTTCTCATAGTTAAAATTTAGAATGTTACAATTTTACATTTCACATTTTAGTAGTATTTAGAATTATACTTGTAACTCAAAGATACTAGCTTATCTTTTAGCTACTCCAAATTCGAGATTAAATAAAGTATATGTACGTATATGTATGTATGTATGTATGTATGTATGTATGTATGTATGTATGTATGTATGTATGTGTCGAAACGTTGGGTCGATGAATTGTAATTTCGGTTACATTCATTAAATCTTTAAAGCAGAGTATCATCAAACCATGTCTGATTGTCCACTTGATTGCTGTGTGAACTTAGATATGTAGTTCTTTGTAGATGTTTGACTAATAAATCATAAAATTTAATTCTTTGTAGAATCCCTGTCGTAACAATCCATGCTATGATGGTA